CGCCTGCATGGTACGGGAGAAACGCTATTAGACAAACCGTATCAACGGCACCTAATATGAATCCCAACATGAACAACAACCCTCCAGGAAAGTAAGTCAAATACTCACCAAACACAATCGTTGTAGTTAGCAGTCTTATTACGTCTTCGTCAATCGCGTCTCCATCTTTTCTCCTTTGCAAAAGCTCTTTCGCAAGAGATGACATCCTTCCACGTGTGGATGGTGACTTCATGGCCAAATCAAAAGGAATATCAATAATCTTGCTATTCTCGCGACGCCACTGCATAGAATCCGCTTTCCACCCCATCCCAGGAATCCACGAGGGAAGGTAGCAGACTTAACCGGACAATTCAATTGGTGGCGAAAGGGAGGGTCGAATAACTTACCCCAAGGAAATATGTCCACAACTGCACGAGCCATGGTAGCTTCCTTCGCTTATTGAAATATGGGGTGAGCAACGAGAAGGTTGGTTGGAGCAACAAGAGCTTATGTTACCTGATTCAAGAGCCTTTGCTGCATAGTCCACCAAATTATCTTCTAAGCCTCGAATGTTGGAGCCATATGCTTGATAAATTAAAAGAGGGAAAATGTGAGCATAATAAGAATCTTACCAATCTCTAGGTTCAACATAGAAGTAAAGCTACGCAAAACGTCAGCGTGCTGCTCAAATTCGGAGGAGTTTAATGAAACGTACTATCGACAGTGTTCCCGAAACTTTTCCGGAGATTCCTTCAGTTTCGCAATAATATCCCCAACATATCGCATCTCTAACGCTCGGAATTCTTTGGCACCAGAGGGGCGTAGGAGAACCTCAGCTTCCTTTCGACAAGGTTTCCACAACGGATGCGAAGATGGTGACTTAGATCCAAACGCTCCAGCCACATTGTCAAGCATCCACATAAGTGGTCTGTCGATTTTTAATGAATTGTACGTGATAGATTGAGAGTAAAGCCACACACCCAGATACGTGATTATGTCGACCACCGCTTAAGATTTCACGCGCTTTGTAGTAGCTGTTAATAACCACAGTGTGTTGACCCAAGATAGATGTGTGAACAATCGGAGAATCTGAAGATCATCAAGAGGAGTTAAATAGGGAGCGAGAGAGACCACTGCCACACATACTCAGCTGGTTGCCAAGTTCCGTATAGCTAATCCATGGCTGCTTTGGGTCAATATCTCCAATATTCCCAAGCAGAGGGAATGGCGTAGGTCCTGGTGGATACTGGCGCCTACGATGGAGAAACAAGTGGTAGGCAGCTAGCGAACCGATGACAGCCGAACTAAGTATGGAGATTAGCGTAGCGTTCGACGGAGACATGGCGGATTACAGTAGGGAGGGGTATTATGCATCGAGTTATAAGGGATCTACAAGCGATACGAGGCAAAGATGGGTCCTGACATGGACGGATGCGCCGGAGGCTGGAGCAACCATAGGCACCAAGGGTTAATTATGGACGACTGACGGGACCATCGTCAAGCGCTTCTATGGTGGGACGTGATAAACACGGAATCCCGAGATAACGCAAGCAGTGCTCTTGGCTAACGAAGAAGGAGGAAAAGAAGGTCATGAGGCAAAACTTATAAATTCAAGGTTCAAAGTCCCATGGAGGCGATAGCCCTCAGCTACGAGTGTTTGAGGTGTGGCTTGACCTTGAAAGTCCGATGATAAATGAGCAGTTGGAGGAGAATCTTCATGTATGGAATAATGAATAGAAGCACGTTTGCCAACTTGGGAGCACTTGGCCCAAAAACCTTGACAATTCGTGATTTGAACGGTACTGACGAACCCGATTGACCAATGAGAGGGATGAGAAGGGAAGCATTAACGCTTCGGGAAATCTTGGCAGAACAAGGGACGTGCTGTTGTGTTTCTCTAGTACATAAGTCATGATAAGTCTGCTAAGAAGCACCTACTGACCTGAGCCTGACCTGTCAGTAACAGTTCAAAAACGATTGCCGAGCCGAAATGAATGTTTTCGGACAAAACTTCGGCATCCAAATATCGTCACTCCTACAGGCGTTCAAACGGGCCGCTGTCCTTGAACGGGGGAGGACAAGTAGACAAATTCAGTGCTAAGGCGGTTGAGGGTGACGGAATGTGACTCCGGAATAAATATAGTCGTTGGTTTGAGATGCTGAGGGTTTTTACAGCATACGGATATCGGAAATATAAAGGAGCAGATTGAAGCCAAAAGATGACATGACCGTCAAGAGCAAGTGGAGGTGGTGTGCGCCTGTAGCAAGTTGAGTTTAATTCAACCGCCATGAGTAAAATTCTTGATTGGCGAGGTCGTGGTCTAAAGCTTGACACTCGAGCCGACTTCGAGCCTTTGATCAAGGATGTTGATCCCGCTACGGTCGAAGAAATCCATCTAGGTGGAAATACCCTTGGTGTAGAGGCCGCTCAAGCACTCGGAGAATTTTTGCAAAAGGCAAATCATCTCAAGGCCAGCTACCTTCTCTCACACTTTTCCTATTATCGCTGTTTCTTATGTTAATTTATATAGGTTGCAGACTTTGCTGACATCTTCACCGGTCGACTCATTACTGAAATCCCGCCTGCCCTTGTTTCGATCTGTTCTGCCCTCAAGGACAAGACGTCTCTTGTAGAGCTTGATCTCTCAGATAACGCTTTTGGTGGCCGTTCAGTAGACCCTATAGTTCCTTTCCTTGTCGAAAATCGTTCCTTCCAGATCCTCAAGCTCAACAACAATGGTCTCGGTCCTGCAGGTGGTTCAGTCATCGCCCAGGCTTTGCTTGATAGTGCGAACGCATCCAAGCATGAAGGAAAGCCTTCAAACCTCCGTGTTATTATTTGTGGGCGGAATAGACTGGAAAATGGGAGTGCTTCTCTATGGGGACAAGCGTTCGCTGCCCATGGCTCTCTAGAACAAGTCAGAATGCCTCAGAACGGGATCCGTATGGCTGGGATCACTGCCATTGCAAATGGACTAGCGAAAAACGCGTCAATAGAATATATCGATCTTCAGGACAATTGTTTCCTCGAAGAAGGTGACCTCGCGGGCTTGACTGCCTGGAACGATGCTCTGACGAAATGGGAAAATCTCACATTCCTCAATCTCTCAGACTGCGTTCTTTCAGAAGAGGGGGAGATCCCCATTCTACTAACCAGTCTTGCGAACGGTTCGAACAAGAAGCTGCATACGCTCCAGCTCCAGAACAATAATCTTGATTCTGCCAGTTATGAATTGCTCGCCAGTGCGATCGAAACTGGAGCTGGACTTGAGACGTTGATGAGCCTCGATTTGGAGGACAATGACGGTCTCGAGGATGACGAGCATATCGCGACTTTGTCTAAGGCGCTGAAGAAGCGCGGCGGCAAACTGGCAGTTGGAGACGATGATGAATCTGAGGCCGAGGAGGAAGTGGAGAAAGAGCCAACCCTCGTAGATCAGGCAAGCTATCTTCTGCTCTCCAAACTATGTTACTAACGTCTTTCCTAGGCTGCAGATGCATTGGCGGACCTGGTCAGTAAGATTAGTATCAAATAATTTGTATTTTTTTCTCTCCACAATATACTAGTGGCACTCATAGATGGAAGCACATTTACAATTACTTGACCTCAACCCCCTTAAGATTTTGCTCTTTGCAGACAAATCACATCCGTCATTGAATAACCTGACTAGGAATGTGAGAAGCTGTTCAAGTTGACTTATGTATGCTAAACACGTTCATTGTTCAACATCGATCCGCAGAGAAGAACAAAAATGGGCTTGCTATTGCAATGAAGAACTTGATCAACTACAACATTGAAGAGCTCAAAGGAGTTGAAAGAACAAATTCGCCAAACGAAACATCTCAAGCAGCGGAAATGGTGACAACAGTGTTTCCGCCACCTTGCGCACCTCCCTCGATCGTAACCTGACCAGGCTGTAAAGATGTTATTGAGAGGTTTTGGTAAAGCTAGAAATGGGAATGAGCTTACACCACCGCACTGAGCAATCAAGTTGTTGAAACCAGCTACGCCTCCATGCTCGAGTCTACCTTTGCTAATGTTGATGACTGATCCATCAGTCGTTTCTGCAGTAACCTAGGGAAGAGTTAAGCCCGTCTAAGACAAACTGGCGACGAATAGGGAAAACAGCAACGTACTGTGCAGCCACCAGACGTTGCTGATACGCTGGGAACATTGGGACGGAGAAATTGGATAGCTCCGGCAATACCACCAGGGCCGAGGCTCAGTAAAGCACTGCGGATGACGTTTTGTAGTGAGTAGATGCATAAAGCGGAGGAAGGAAGCTGAACCTACACATTGCAGTCGTGGCTACTGAGAGCCGCACCACCATCACAGGTGATAGTACCCGCAGCAGCACGGCCAGCATTGGCACGGTGACGGAGAGGGATGAAAGCCGCTTCCACCGAGAAAACCATGAGAAGGAGAGTAGTGAGAATAAGACGGAGAATGGACTGCATTCTGGCAAAAACTAGATCGAAGGAAGAGCTAGATTGAAGATGAGAATGGCGAATGGGGCTGGCCCTTAGGATTTGACAAAGAAAAAAGAAAGTGGGGGGAAAGGAAAGAAGTGAAAGATGGGTTTCGACGTGGAGGCGCGGAGCCTTTTAAAGGACGGAACAGGCAGGCTTCTTTTGTTACTAGGCACCTTGTCGGCACCCGGCGAGGTCAAATCTGCACTGATATTCTACAACTAAAGCCCGACTAAGACGCCGCTCTGCAGGCTCAACACTTGAGACCCTGCGGCTGGGAAGGTTATGAGACTGTTAGCTGACTGACGGCTCCTCAATTTCAACCGATACTCATTCCCTGCCCGGGTTGAATTCTTTATGGAGCATTTTGAAGTTAAAACTTGGACGAGGTATTTCGTTCAATCCGGGTGGTTTCCGTAGACCGAGGTGCTGTATGATGAGAATGAGAGGAGAGTTAAAAAAAGGTCACCTAAGTGTCAAGAATCCTCGAGAGTCAATAAGGACGACTCACGTTTATAATGGCACTAGGCAAGCCTCCAAACAGCTAGTGTGCCCCACTAGCTCAATCGGCTAGAGCGTCAGACTTTTACGGATTCTGTAGAAGTCCATCTGAAGGCTGCGAGTTCGACCCTCGCGTGGGGCTAGAGGTTACCCTTTTTTGCCCCCCCTGAAAAGTAATCTTTTTGCTCAAATGTCAGTCGGAATATCACAATCGGTGCTTAGATATTAAAATTTCACTGCCTAGATAACTACAGGTTGAGTTTGGTTCTTGGATGACATGTAATACTAGTTTCTGCCAATGTACTCGTCCCCACCAAAAGTTTCCGGAATCGGCGCTAGTCTGCTTGTTTTGGCTCCAGGTCTTCACAGACCCATTGGTCATGGAAACCATTCACAATTTACATTAATGGATAGGATCTTAGTTATTTGGATCACCTAACTTTTATCAAGTCCCCCAATTGAATTTGCAACAGCCTCAGTTTTGCAATGGGCACATGACGGATCTTTGGCCCATATCCGTGTGAAAATGAAGTCTCCCGCCCCATAGGTGGCATCTGTAGGCTAGATATCAGTTTTTTGTCGATGATAGAAGCTACCCCGGGATGCAATAACCCCACACTCAGGAGCTTTCCTGGAGGATGGACAAAATCTTCGGTTTTGAGTGGGTCGCCGCACTCGGGTTTTTCCCTTTGAGCGGTATGCCGCGGTTCCATCTCATTTTTGTAACTCCTCCTTATTATGCAACTATAAGTACTACTTGTTTCTCCATTATTCTTCCTCCCTTAACTCAGGGAGGGCATTGGAATTTCATCGGAAAGCTGTTTATTGCTCACTCCACAGACTAGTGTTGTCTCGACGATGAAGGTCGTACTATGATGCCTGGCCAGTGTTTTTTATACCATATTACCTATTTAAAAATAAAAATATCAGTAGAATTACAGATCCCTACTGGTAAAGTGATGTTTATATATGCTGACCGAAAGGAATGGAAAGAAGACGTGACTATTCCCTAATAATGAAGATAGCATGGTCATACCCGATGGGCCAAAAAGAATAAGAAAGCACATATATACACTAATTAAAATACCCCGTACAACAAGGTGGTGTGGATGAATCCGAGGACCCAAAACAAGGCCAGATTCCGGAAACTTTGTGTGGGGACGAGTAGGACCTGAAGCAACGCAAAACTCCAGAAGTCACCTAGGTTCTAAGTTCTGAGCAAGGCTTTTATTAGAATCTTGAGCTACCACACGTTTATTTAGACATTTTAATGCGATATGGTGGTGAACGGGATGCAGATGGTACATGTTCGGCGTTCACCAGGTGCGTTGAGGATGGAATTTTACTTGAGTCGATTTGCGCACAGCTGCTTGAGTACAAACGAAATCATATTTACTTCTCTATGAGCTGATCGCAGCAACGTTTCCTGCTGTCGCAGCGTTAATGGCACCATTCTGGCTACCCTTGTCCCTCTCAGCCTTTGCAAGAGTGTACATTCCAGTGACAATAACCTCATCTCTAATCTGCTGGGCCTATCCAAAAAATTAGTCCATATATGAGGTGTAAATGAGGGCAAGAATGCACCTCTGGTGAGAGCTGGAAAGACATAGCATCCTTGTGCTTGAGGAATCCATTGTCCCCTCGGCTGAAAGTGGCCACCGGGTGATGGTCACGTTCAAGTTGCATATTTTCACCATGCCATTTCCACTTGTATTCATAACGGTTGGAGGCTTTCCAGTGTTCGGATCTGAGATACAATTATAAGTAAGGTGGCAGAGAAGACGGCAAGGGTGAAAATTATACGTGGAGAACATCGACTCGCGTTTCACCTTGATCTTGTATCCATTTACTGTAACGTCATCCCCGTGCATTGAATGGAATTCAACTTGGCCGACTTGTTGCCTCCCTAAAAAGATATTGATTAGGACACCGTAAGAGACAGAAAACCTAGACACATACGTTGGACATCGTAGAAATTGGTGGGTGACGATCCCATGAACTTGGATTTGGTCTCAAGTTGGTATAGAGGTTGTCCATTCTCAAAGATGAGCATGGTGTTTTCGAAGTTACGTTCGCTGAGGAACAGGTGCATGAAGCCGTTACTCATCTTGGGCTGTGTGTGGGAGGAGTGGGATGTTGGGTTGAGATGGAGAGATGGTGGGTGGGCGGGTTAAATAATAGGTGGCTTCGGAAGCAACCCACAGATTGATGTGGGGTTGGGTCGTCATGATCATCGCATTATGTTTGGCTGCGACCGGAGCAGTCTGGATGTATTTGATCAAGAACGAAGGTTCTGAGGGAGGGGTTTAGAAGGTTTGGGAGTGGCTGTTTCCGGCGTGATACGGATGGAGGTAGAAGAATGAGTACCAGTGAGGGGGGCCATAGAGTAGCTGCCGATCGATCGATACGAATCCTACTACGTTGATAGAATTTACACCGACACAAGTTGTTGAATGCCGACGGGCGGATGGGCATCTTCGAAGCGCTTCAAACCAGTACCTGGACGAGAGTGCTGGAGTATCTTGACAGAATAGTTTAACAGAGGATTCAAATATTGGTCGCACATATGTATGCACGCTGTCTCATGCAGTGCGGAACAGTTGAGCATGGGATATGCCGTTGAGAGGATACAGGAACGAATGCCGGGAGAAGTGACTAAAGCTAAAACATTTGAACTTACCACGCAGATAATAGAAATGAATCCAAAAAAAGAAAGAGAATTACAGAAGATAAAATATGCTTGCGATAGGCAGGCTTTATAACCGAAGGGAGGGCCGAAGAAGAGGAATGTTGAATGCAGTTAGTAAGAGGAGGAGCGAGCTCGGGTCAATGAAAGCATAAACATGCAGGGACGAACACCAAAGGTCTTATAGTATGGGAGCGATTACTCATTTTTCTAGCCATCCTATCCTAGGATCAAGAGCAAGGCAGAAAAGGAAACAACATTTCGGACTCAGATCACTGTACGTAAGCTGATGCCGGAGTCACCTGGTCGTGTTGACACAATTCTATGAGCGCCTGAGAAGCCTCGTGTTGGCGAAATCCCCCATCATCCTCATCCTGCGAGACAGTTGAGCAGTAATGGAGACTGCCAACTCTGAGCCGGCGCACACAACGTCTAGCGCTACCGATGTCTTTAGCCTCACTGACCAAGTTCTCTCGGATAAGCTGCAGTTTATCGAAGAGGTAAGTTAACGATGTCGAGCGCGTCGTGGAGTCGCTGAAAAGTGCTAGGTTGGTTTCGGCAACTGGGGCAGCGTATGGCTAGCCCAGAGAAAGAACTCTAGTGCCGACGACCAGGTTACCAAGAGCCATCCCGCCGGGGCAAAGATGGCCGTCAAGCTCGTCCACCGGTCTAAGACACCCACCACAGCAGCACGCGTCAAATCATTGTACGCACTCTCCCATATTGTTCTTATTCCTTTCTTGACACTCACCACTCATATCCAGATGGAACGAAATGAAGATCGTCCGGACATTCAAACACGAACCGCACCCGTCCATTGTGCCATTTTACTCGTTCATCATCACTCCTTCCTATGCGCTTATCACCATGTATGTCTCCAACTAATTGACACGTCCCTACCACCCACTTACCTCTATCAGGGCCTATTTGCCGACGCTGGTCCCGGTTGAAGTTGGTGAACCCAAGGCAAAGGTCTGGTTCGAGTCCCTGCTCTCAGGCGTCAAGTTCCTTCATGACCGTGGCGTCGTACATAACGACATCAAGTAAGCTCCATTTTTTACGCTCATTTTCTCCCACTAATATAGGGACAGACCTGCCAACATTTTATTATCTCCAAAGAATGTACCCGTTCTCGTCGACTTTGGTTTCGCAGAACGATATGACATGTCATCTGACAAGGCCTTCCACAGCAATCTTTCCTATGGAACGCCTGAATATTTATCGCCTGAACGCGCTCGTGGTCTCCCCCACGATACCCGCAAGTCGGACATTTGGTCGCTCGGTGTTACTTTCTTTGAAATTCTGACGGGCCGGACCCCTTTCGAACACTCTGATGGTGAGCAATTCACAACCAAAGAGGATCTCGAAAAGTACTGGGCCAGGACGGTAAGTTTACTGTTCCCTTTTTTCACACTGGTTTTCTCATTTCTTTTAGCTCAAGGGCAAGTGGGTAGGCGAGTGGACAATTTCTCCTGGCGTTGAGAAACTGCTTCGACGAATGATCTCACCCAATGCTGACCTTCGGTGCAATGCCACTGACGCGAGCTTGGACGCGTACTGGAAAACCCCTCTCCCTTCACCTCAACAGCTACAAAAGATTTCCAGTGTCTCTACTGTTGTTTTCGAGAAGGATTCTGCCAAACTGAGAGCCGCAGCCACACCCACGCGAACACGGGCAAACAAGGAGAATCTCGTTTCACCTCCTGGACTCGATGCTAAGTCGCCGAAATCCGCGACATCACTGAGGTCTTCCAAGTCTCAACCCAAGGTTCTATCTTCATCACGGGGTTAGCTTTTTTTCCTTATGAAGATTTTCCTGCTAAACAACTATCTTAGTACAACCGAAGGGGCGTGTCCCAGTGCTTCTCACAGAGCTTTCTCCCATCAAAGGCTCAGCGCCTTCTCCCAGGACGGTTGCCAAATCAGCCTCCTCTTCGGCTAAAGCTGCTGGAAAACCCCGTGCGGTCGATGGTCGCAAATATAGGGACACTAACCTTCCGCCCACGCCTCCTGTAGAGCGCGGCACCCATGTTCGTAATCCTCGCCCAGCTCACGAGCCTTCAGTGTTAGGTCATCGTCGCCATATCAGTCCTGCTGGCGCTCTAGCTGCGACTGCACAACTGCAAAAGGAACGAAGGCGATCACGAGACATGACTGTCCCTTCTTCGAAAGGCTCCCAATCTGCAAGAGATCGCGTTAAGGACTGGGAGCGTGAGAAAGAAAGGCTGAGGGAAATGGCTCGGCTGGAGGAGATTGAGAAAGAGAGGGATGTTGAACTGCTCAAGGAGCAGGAAGACGACGATCTTGAGGATCGCAGGATGGCAGAACGAATGAAGAGGGCGAACGAAGCCCGGATGCGCGCGACAACACGGTCCCCTCCTCAAATTTCAATGCCACCCGAGAATGAGGTCAAACCCGCTGCAAGTGTTGCCTCTACCGAAGTTATTCCACCCGTT